GCTAATCCTTGTGACACTTTTAATCCACTTACTTGAAAAATTGATTATCTTGGAGCTATTCGTTCATGAAATGAGCTTCATCATCCGCAAAATTAGGGTCAACACATTATACCAAATTAGATACTTCTCAATCTTTCTTCCATTTCAGGATTATAGCTTAAAATAATGTCTGATCAATCAGAAGAAGAGATTGAAGGATGTCTTGAAGCCTTTTGTGAATTGATTTAACTTAAAAATTATAATTCAAGGAAGGATCTCAACTTTGATTTCCGAAATGCTCAGCTATGACACAAAAATTAATTCTTGAATAAGTAAGCAAGCAACTCATTATTTTCAATACATAACTTTTCATAACAATGTTAGAAAAATCTCATAATAAGAAAATCGTTGAGGTGGCACTTTCATGACAGCATGAATACTTCCACTTCACTAGAGTCATCTGCATTCATTATCGTTACATAAATGAATCAATTCCTTTCAAATTATCACATAAAAATTTATTGCGTTGATGATTGTTATGAAAATGAAAAATTATGCAAAGTTAGTGGATGTGAGTGTAGGATTTGAGGTCGTTGAACTTATATAGGATTTTTTTATATATTCAGAAGATTTTAAAATTTGTAGAAAAATATCTCAAAATTATGCAATTAAAAGTTTTGAGCTTAACGTATTTTGGAATTCAATGAGCTTTTCTCATTTTTAAGCACAACTTAAAAGTTTTTTTCCCCTAAATTTCAATATTTCAATAAATTGATGAAATCTTTGAATGCAGACAAGATAAATTATAGAAAAAAAATCAAAGTCAATCTCATTTGAATTTCTTCTTCTGCTATAGCCAATTTATTTTCTGTTTCTCCTCCTTTCCTAAGTATTTCATTCTTTACATCTCAACAAGAAATACTGAAAACAACAACATTACTTACTCTTTATACACAGAAAACAATTTCCACTAGCGTGACTGAAACTTTTTTCGGCTATTAAATTCATTGAACTTTTTTAGTTTTCTTTGCTGTATTTTTTTGGGGCAAAATTTATGAGACTCCATCGAACATGCTTTTTGTTCAGGCTATACATAGGTATTTATATTTATTTACACAACTTAGAAGAAAAATGAAAAATTTGCATGAAAACTTATTCAGACCTTGCTCTCGATATGAAAAAAATAATTGTAGAAGTGTGGGGTGGAAAGGGCTAAATCATAAACAATATTTTTATAATATATTTGAGCGTACATTTGTGAAATTAAAAGCTACTATGCAGTAGTTGTGCAGGAAGTTTTTTTGTTTGTTGGCTTACTTCCCAGTTTTGCATTCAATGTTTGGTAAATGTTTGAGTGCTGATTTGGGGTTTTGCAAATTACCCCCACCCCCTCCTCTTTGGATTAGTTCGAACCTACGAAGTTTCGCTAGTTCTCAGGTTTTTCCTACGCACTGAAAACACGCAGCTATATAGCTACATACTGGGGGTGTTCGATTTAAGTAGGTGTTTTGTTCCAGAAAATTGTTGTTCAAATCGAATCTACTCAAATCGAAGACCCATAGTATATTAAAGTCTGAACAAGTAAAGTTCTATTTTTCAACTTAAGTACAATTGAGCAAAGTTGTCCCTATTCCTTATTCATTCTTATAAATGCCACAACTAATGTAGTTCAATGTCACATAATTAATTCCACCTTCACATTTATTTATTCTCTTATTAGCATAATTATTATTTTAATTTTTCTTTACTTTAAGTATAATAATAATATTTATAATCAACATAAGGAAATAAAAATAATTTTCTTATTTTTTCCGACAATTTAAAACTCCATTTGTTTTTATAACTGGAGAGTAGCATTAAATGTCTAATAATATTCATTATAAAAATTGTGTCACAAATTTTTACTTTTTAAACAAGAAAACTGAACAGCAGGAGGAAGTGGATGAAGAAGAAAATTCATTTATAGCAATTAAAAATAAAGTCGGAAATGTCTTGTTAAATGTTAATTTACTAAATTTCATTAATTAACCTGGGAATTATAATTAGTTTGATACTCACAGGTTGTCGGAAATACGCAGTAAAAAGTTTTTTGTCCAAAACAAGTGACAGAAAATAGTGAAATTTCATCAGGAGCAATCCTGAGCTCTAATTGTTCTTTACTGATTGTTTAAACATTGAATTGATGTTAATAGACTTCATTGGGCTGAACATACTGTTAGGAGAGCTGACGAGAGTACTCAGGGATGACTAAAGTTTCCTTATGGTCCAAAATTAACCAGTTTATGATTAAAACTTTAGAATACGCTTCTGTTTGACAGAGACAGTCCTGAATCAGATTATAGGTAATCAGCAGTAGCAAGCGATAAAGCCCATTTCAGCCGACATGAGTTAAAATCGAGAATGAAATCGAATCTTACGAAAAAATTTAAATCAATTAAAATGACTAAGACTTAAGAATGATGCTCATAATGATTTATTTTTCGAATAACATTTTTAATTGCCAATTTATCTTCATTATAGGCCTCATAGAATTTGATACAGTACGTCCAAAATTACAATTTTTCAGAGCAATTAAAAATTTATCATTATTCTCATACCCTTTTTGAGAAGCTCTCGACTCTTCCGCGAAATAAATCGACGTTTGTTGTAAAGATGATGGAAACTAAGGAACAGATTTCGCACGATTAAGAGATTACCATGACATTTAGGAGAATTCGAAAGCTGTGTTTGACCTTTTTGATTGGAAATCTTATTTTAGATTTAATTAAATGCTGGAGATTATAAATCGAATATTGACGTTGATCTTTAATAATTAATAAATTTTCTTGGAAAAATGGCATTTGGCAGTTGATGGACATTATTTTCTATGGACGTAGTAAAGTAAATCGTCATTGAACTTCAGTGATGTTATGAATTTCAAAGCATAGGCAATTTATGAACAAATTATATTCAACTTTTGTGATGGGACTGGATAGGAGGGAGGATTCGTCTATATTGATTCTATCATATGGAACGATCAAGCTTTTAACTTAGTTCCTCACAGAGGCGTAGCCAGGAATTTGAAAAGGGGGGAAAAAATTTCTTTTTGTATGAAAACGGGGGGGTTTGAGCTTTTCATAAAAACTCTAGCAAAATGAATAAATTTCTCAAAGCAGGACAATAAGAATTTTAGGCGAAGCATTATTAGAAAATCGACATTGCCCGGCTCAAAAGTGCGTAGCTTTACAGCCTACTCATAATAGTATAAACATATAAATTTGCTGATAATTTCACCCAATTTAAAAAAAATTAATTATCATAAATTACGACTGTTTATAACAAATCCTTCATTAATTACCGAACCTAATTCGATAATTTATCCAATACACGTCCTACATCAAAAGTCAATAAACAAACTCAATGTCAACTCACATCAGTAATAAAACATTACCCAAAATAAAGAAAAAGCGATTCTCATGAATTTTTAAGCTCAATTTACACGGAATTACCTTTACCGGTGTCGTATCATCAAAAATCTTCAAATTCATTATTTTTTTGTGTCAAACACATGTCAACTGATTAACGCATGGCGTCCATAAAAATTTGTCTCATTGAAACAACCTCTCAGGATAATTAACTTGATTAACATTATTTATTTCTCAAGCACAATTACTTTATTGTGTTATTTTAATTACTTTAATGTAGAAAAGTGCTGTTCTTGAAATTATGATAATGAAGTCTTGACACTTACGTAAGGAACAGTGGAAATTCATCGTCGTAATTTTTCTTTCTTAAAATGCAAAAAAAAAAAATAATTAACGAGAACGTAATTAAGTCTCGGATTCATTTTGCATCTGGTGCATTAAGAATAATTTATGTAGCTGCCATGCCAGGCGAACGACTTCAAGCTGAAAAGGAAAATTATGAGTTTAATGATTTCAGCCAAAAGATTCACATTGAATTGTAAATTTTTTTATGTCTGTCAAGAAACCCCCCAAAAAAAAAATTGTCAGAAATGAAGAAGTCATGAGAATCTATTTGTAAATTTATGAGATTTCATGCCGAGAGACGCGACAGACTTATGACTTATTCATATTATCAAAATCCCTCAAAATGATGTTTTGATGACCAAAGTGTTGGGCTAAGACTAATGGATGTTTGTCATTTTTCTTTACTGCTTCACATTTTATGATGGAGGCTTTCTTTAAAGCTGTAGAATGAATTTTCTGAAGAAATTGAATCTGTTGATATTTTTGGAAATGCTTAATCAGCTTAAAATTTTTTCACTTTATTATTTTGCAAATTCTTCATTTTCTAGATTCTCAAAAATCTCTTTTAAATGAACTGAAAATAGCTAAACAGTCTTTTTTTAATTTCTGAACCAAAAATAGAACATTTTGATGGTTTTACGCAACACAAAAGATTGCGGTTAGATTCGACATCAAAAGAAACTTGTAGCGGATGTTTTGATACAAATGTTGACATTCAGTATGGGTAGACAGAAAGGCGTGCATATTGTTGACAGTGGACAGTAAGATTATCTATGGAATAGACTTACAAAGAGTACAAAGTCAATAAAGACCAAAAATGCTATATATTAGCTTTTAAGTGGCTGTATTGAGGTTATGTAAGAAGTTTTGGTGTAAAAAAAAATTCGTTAAAAAGGGGGTTAGGTTCAAACCTTAGTTACGCCTGGAAGTTTCTTATAACTTGATATAATTGATTGAAACAACAAAAATCACGAAAAAAAATATTTTTTCAAGGTTTTTTTTCTCCTTTATTTTTTTCTCTTTTCTTTACATCATTCCTCATTGTAATATTAATATTTACATTAACTCTTATTAAATCTTAACAGTACCGAATTTATTTATTTCTCTTTTATATATTACAATTAAATTCAATCATCATCATCATATAACGGCATTTTTTTCATTCTACGGTAATTGTTTGTTCTGATAAAACAATAATCATAATAATAATAATTATATTTTATGTAAAAAAAGGAAAAATATAGAACATAATTTTTTTTATTATATTTTATTATAATTTACAAGTTTCATTCTTATTAGTTTTTATTTTTGGATTTTTTTTTCATCGTCTTCTTTTCATTTTGTTGTTTTTGTACAGAACAATTTATTAGTTTCTTCTTTAGTGCTATGGAAACTTTTTTCCCTCAATTTTTTGTGTGTCTTGTTTCTTCACAATCACAAGCACAAATTGTCTTAAAGTTTTCTCATAGTTTTTCTTGTATAATATCACTTTTTTTTTCTTCTTATTTTGTATGCTATGAGTGTGTCTGAAAAGTTTTCGATTTCTTTTTATGAATTTTTCATCCTCATCATAGTTTTTGACCTCAAACAATTTTCTTTTACAATCCATAATCATCATCACTTGATGGCTTCTTATTATATTCGTCTTACGAATGACTTTTTTTTGCATAAAAAATTGATTTTTTTTTATTTTATTTCTAATGTTCTTTTTGCAGCTTTTAATGGCAACCAAATTAGAAAACTTTTTGGATGAAGAATGAATTGAAATTATTGCAATTATTGTTTAAATTCAATTCCTAGTCGATGTGTCTCATACTACCATAACCTGTAAGAAGAAAAAGAAGGTAAAATTCAATTATAATCAAATTTGGAAGAGATGTTTGTGTGCTTGAAAAACATTTAATGCAATAAAAATAAAAAGAAGGAAAAAAGCCAATTTCAATTCCATACATGTGCTTATAATATCATTTTTTTTACGTCATTTGTGAAGGCAAGGTTTGTGGCTTTTGTCAGCTTGTTCAGTAGTTCTTAAAAATTAAAAAAAAAATAAAGTACGAAAATTTTGTATTTTTCTGGAGATTGGGTGTCTTCGAAATGTCTCTTGTCCCTCTGCTATAATTTTTTATATCTAAATTCCATGAAACGGGTACAAAACGTAATAATATCTAGTCAGGGGTCAGTGACTAGGTGCAGCCTAGGATAACCCAGACAATATCCTATTCTAATCTTCCGGGATATCAATAGGAAAACTACCAAGGTAGATTTAAGGAAACCTACTTACTTTGATTCTACTATGAAAACTACAATAATAGATATTAAAGAAGCTCCTAAAGTTCAAACTTATGCAGCTACCTGTACAAGAGTAGATACTAGGGAAGCTACCAAAATAAATACTAGGGAAGCTACTATAGGAGATAATAGGGTAGCTACAAGACTAAAAGGTAAATCATTGGAAGGGTCCAGCTTTTTGAGTTGGAGGTACTTCCCATTCAAATTAAGCTACTAGACTTTAAATATTACTGGTACAGCAACGATCATTCAACTATCCTTCAAGAAACAATGGACCATCTTCTAGTGTTCATTAAGCAAACCACTTTATGGTTTCAAAACTCCCCCTTACATCCCACGATCCATTAAAATTGCAAACCTCATTCCCAAGAAAACCCCAAACAGAACAGGAAAGACAATTTTACAAACAAAAATATGAATATTTATAATTTTCAATGTCCATCGTTCCTTTTTCATGTTGCTCAAAAAATGTAAGCATGAAATTACATTTAAAAATTTAATTTCCTATTGCTCCTTTCCATTCTTTTTTCTCATTTCTCTTCTCTTTTATTTTCACTTTAAGTGAAGCCAGCCACATGAAAAATTTAATTTCCCATTTACGCATAAATTTTGTGTGCCACATCTTGAACTTTAAAGGTGGATGTTGCAGGCACACAATAAAGACAGATTTTTTTTTTAAATTTTCTATAAATTTTTGAATTAAAAAAGTTTTCAGAATTAAATTAAACATGGCAAGGAAAAAGGGAAACAAAAAAAATGTGTTTGCGTTCAAGATTTATGAAAAAGTTTCCAAAGAAAGAAAAAAAAATATGAAAATTTATGAGTTTTTCTTCTTCTTGAAAACACTTCATAAAAAGTTCAGGAGGTAAGGAATGGCTAACGAGGACAATGGGAAAATTGTGTTAAAGTTTTAATTCTTTTATGGATTGCTTGTTATTAGACTTGGTGCTTGTTAAAGTTTTATTAAGATTGACGAGAAAATTATTAAATTTATTTCATAAGCTTATTCAGGAAGAGGGGAGGTGGGGTTCAGACCTTCAAAAAATCAAGGAAAAATTTCCTAATACATCCTTGCTGGTCCTGACTATGAATTCAAAACATAAATTCTTTATTTCCATCAATCAAGGCTTTAAAAATACGATCAATAATGAAAAATGTACGGATAATAATTTCAAAGCTATAAGAGGATTATCAAAAATGTTTATTTAAAATTCATAATGCATTAATTTGAAAAATTACAATACCTAATCGTTCGTAATTAGAGGGCATCAATGCCATAGATTACTAGCGCTATAATTTTAAATACACGGAAAACTAGGAAATATAATGGATGATAATTCATTATTAATAGATATTGATATAATTAACGTTAAATATGCTATGGATTCATATACAACTACTGATAATAATGAAAGATTCTCTTTGATGAATTTAGCAACCTATTTTTGAGTCAGCATTGATAATTTGCATTCTGTAGTGGATGATGTGACAAGTTGGAGTGATGATATCACAAAACTAATGTATGAGTAACATTAGCTGGATTTGTAAGGTTTGGTAATAAGAGTTTCTGTGAAAAGCTAAGATCCAAATGTACAATAATTTGTGAGCAAACACTGAAAGAGGGAATCTAAAAAGCTCAAAACTTGAGGGACAACCTATCTCATTGATGTAACGCACCTAAGAATCTTGAAAGCTAAACCAAGTGCTCCTTCACATTTAGAATTCAATGTCAATTATCAATATCAAATCAACAATATTCCTTAACATCGCCAAAAGTCATCCTTTAGGAGATTTTCAAGGTCATAAATCCCTAAAATATTTAACATCAAAAGTAGTTGACTTGAGTCAATTAAAAAAGCCAAACATTTTCCATAGAAAATGAAAATATTCCCAACAGGGTTGCTCCCAAAACCTCCTACATTGTGAATGTTTATTTATATAATAATAATAAAACTCCCCAATAACAATCAATACAAATGACGTAAATCATACATCATGCATAAGCTTTGCTGACATAATTTAATAACAATAAAAATCAAAGCATTGAAATCACAATTAAAGGAGCAGGAGATAAACAGTAAATAAAAACTCACCTATACATTAGAAATGTTATAAAAACGCTAGGATAGAATAAACAATAATACACTGTCGATGAATGGCTGGCTGTTGAAGTATTCCGTCTCGATATTGCCGCCGTGTTGTCACCTTGAAGAAAAAGAACAAATGAAAAGTTTTTAATGAGAAATTCCACAAAATTAATGTGTTTAGTGATGATTAATTAATGACAATTTTGTGTACAAGCAGAAGAAAATTTTCAACAAGGTAAAGAATTTTTTTGATTAATTTTTGACTAAGTCAACTCATTAATTGTTTAACGTGCTTACAAAAAAATTTTATTCACTCATATTTTAATGTTCATGGTTGAAAGCAAACAGAAGCATTATGTAAACTTTCCGAGCGGTTCATGTGCTATCGTGGAGCTGAAGTGGAAAGCTAGTTTGACAGCAAATAAAGAGGGACTACAATTTTGAGTTTGTTTAAACAACATGTAAATTATTACGTAAATAAGACTCGATTAAACGTCTTAGTTTCTCAGTTGTATGCTCCAACTTACCACTGAGCTATAAAATGACCAAATGCTTTACATAAGCTTCATACTTTTTACTTTTGTACACTCCTATGCATCATTGTTGACAGACTATCACAAGAATTCGAAAATTCCATCCATTAATTCTCAATCTTCAAAATTTTGCTTTTAAAACCATGAAATCCTTTGTGAAGCTCGGGCTTCATTCCCTGCTTATGAATTTTTCTTGTCATGTAATCAACATATAACTTCATGTTTTATTATACTTCATGCATATGTATATGAAAACTATAATTGGGTCGCGATCCTTTTTCATATCCTTTTTCCCTTATTATCCTTCCCCCACTTTTAATATTTAATGATCTCATCACTCATTTCCATTCATAGTCATTTACCATGAAAATAGCATTTATTTATTCATACGCCAGTTCCTTTACAGGAAAGATATGGCACATTGATTGAAATGATAATAAATTTGAAGAAAATATATAATGAGACTTGAACTCATCGTTAATTGTCTTCACACATAATTAAATTGCTCCAATTAATTCGATGACTTTAATAAAGTTGGAAGATATTAAAATTTGATTTTAAAATAGAACCTTCGCATTCCACAGCTCGTGTACTTAGCGAACATGGCAAATGAAATAAAATGACATTCAACCTTCCTTGCCGTGTTGTAAATTTGTTGTTACTTAAATTCCGTGGATTTACAAACGAAAATTGAATTTTTTTTATGCTTCCCCGCAGCTTTTGTTGTTGCTCGTGTCACTTGAGCCGCTCCTTAAAATAAACTAATGGAAAATAAGTTTTACATATTTTGGTGTACGTGGGCGCATAGAAACAGGAGGACTCATATTAAATTGTTTTTAGTAACAATTTCACAGAGTTTTGTTTTGAAACTTTCGATGTATTTAATTAGTTTTATTTTTGGTTTATAGTCAAGAAGCTATAAACGATGTGTATGGAATCTATTTAAAACTTTTTTTGAGACGCCTTAGTTCCCACACTTAAAGACTTTTTAGATATTCTAAACGCAATTAGGAATAACAAGACTTAAAGACGTGGGATGTGTTATTAAGGTTAACCTTCAATAATAATAAAATACCCAGACCACCTATATGCAATCCTCGTGATGTCATTGTATATTTTGAGATTAATGTTTCGTAAGCATTGCAGGAATCCTTGACAAAAGGAGTGGGATTTGAACCCACATGTTCTCAAAAGAGTCACCATTTTGTCACAGTTGTCTTACCATCGCACTGAAAAATTCGCTCACATGTGACTTGATACCGCAGATCAGACACAAAAAAATTTCATTGCCTTTCATTTGTCTACAATAAAATCAATATCAGTGCCAATAACCATCTCATATCCCCCGAAAAAGCACTTTAATACATCAAATTCTGACAACATCTTCAAATTAGAACCAAATTAGTTTATTATATCCCATTCTCTCTCGTTTCTCACACACCATTAATAGTAATAGCAATAATAACAACAACATTTACAAGTTGTATACTAAAAAGTCAAAAAAGAGATGAGAATATAGGGCAGAAATTATAAACAAGAAGGTCATAAAAGAAGACGAACGATGTGCAGAATTATAAGGAAAAATGGAAGAGATATTTACGAATCATTTCCGGAATAAAAAAAAAATGGCCTTTCTTGCTACTCGTTCTTAACGATATATACGCAATATAGAACAATAAAATAAAGACATTAAGAAAATGGCAAGAGTCGAATGGCTTGTTGAGGAGGGAAAGTGAGAAAAATAAAGTCATGATATAATTAATAGAAATGCTTTACTATCATTCGTATCTTAATGACATCATCATTGATTAAACACATAGTCCTTGACACAAAATGATGCCTTCGAGTGAGATGTTTTGTGAAAGTACGTCAGTGTGGCACTAAAATTGTCGATATTTGTGTTTTCGATAAAGAATGATGTTGTGCATATGATGCCATAACTATTTATGTACGAAATGTTTGAGTTTATTTACTTTTTCGCGTGTTTTATATATTTTTAAGGCAGAAAGCAAGCCATTGATGTCGTTTTGTCTCATGTGTATTGCATTTGTGAATTCGTTCAGGGGTTTAGGAGTTATAAATAAATTATTTGACACATTTTGCTTACAAGGTTACAAAATAATCTGGTTCAAATGCACCTCATTGTTAATTCAAGGGGTGCGAAACTAAGTAAAAACTCAATTAGCAAACTAATTGGTATGGCATAGTAAGTTTCGTGTAGGATCAAGAGCAGGCAAATCTAGGTTTCAAATAACTTGAATCAATCGTTTCTAAAAGCATAATATGAGTAATAAGGTGGTATTGAATCTTTCGCTATTAATCTTTGAGCTCCACATCTAGTTTCTGACCTGTTCCTCAGTCATACTTGCATATAAAAAGCTAGCGAAAAAGCAAGGAAATTACTTCAAGAAATAAATTTTCTTTTAAAAGACTTCTTCAGAAAACTCTATTCCAAGACATTTTTTTCGTAGGCTTTAAGATAAAAATGGAAAGGAAATATGGCGCTAAAGTTTTCCTACTTCTTCTTCTTCTTTGTATTCAACTTATTAAATGTAAAGCAACGGAAAGCATACAATGGGCGTGGGACAAAGCAAATGAGCTCGCTTATTACCAGGGAGTGTTAAACTGGCAATTTTTTAATAGAAACGATTTAGGAAAAAGAAGTTTTTGTTCCTTCCTCGCCATTTATTGTTGGGAATATTTTGTGCATGCTAAATTTTTCGTTTCGTTTCTGGGATGTTTGCATGAAGAAATTTTCACAGAAAATGAATTAATTTGAAATTTCATGCTTCTTGAAATTACTTTTATTATTAAGACTGTCTTCGTTCTTTTTTATTTGCCACTGTTTTGAAGCTACAAAGAAGAAAAGGAAATTGAAATTTTTATTGGCATTTTCTGTTTTCAAAATGATTGCTTTTGAAGGCTGCATGAAAAATTATGAAGAAAATATTTTTTAAAGTTTTCGTAAAATTTGAATACTATTGTTTAATTATCTTGTGCTTCCTATTTATTGTATACCTTAAAACTTTTTCAATTCTGTTGGGGGAGTTTGAAGCAAAAGTTTTTTTTTGTGTTGCTTTAAGCTTTATGGTCGAACATCATCAACATACTTTAAGCTTTTGCAGACACATAGTCAGGATGATTTTTTGGTCCACTTCCCCACGGCGTTTTAAACCTCAAACCTGAATTAATTAAGCTTAATATCAAAGCTAGCATTTCAATCTATATTTATTTCCTTAAGACACATTACACAGTAAGTCCTGTTCCAAATTTGGACTCTTCTTTTTAGAAAAATAAAATCCATTTTCTCGTCTTAATAATGTAAAGCTTTTACCAAATGAATGGAATTTCCTTTTATTCTCAATTTTTTAGACTCAGAAAATTCGTAGATTAAATTCAGAGCTTTTAAGCCTCTTAAAGGTAAAAATCTTCATAAACATTCTTGAAAGCTTTAAAATTTTCTCTTAATAGAAATTCTTTTATGCTCTTGAAAGCAGCGACAGCTTTAGCTTCTTTATAATTTCATTTATTTTTGATACTGACTGAAAAGTGTCAAGGCTGATAAAGAATATTTTGATTTTAAGATTAATTTTTGGTAAATCGTTGTGAGGCGAATTTTGAGCAGAATAAGAAGCACTGACATTTTAACCCTCAGGTTCTTATTCATCTCTGCTGAAAAAAATCACCTCATCAAAAGTTAAAGAAATCAATACAAAGATGCCGCAAGAATCCCAAAATGTTTAATCATCAAACTCTTCTAAGGCGTTGTTCACATTATACGTCAATCAAAATGGGATTTTCAATCTACCCCTATGCCAAATAATCTTAGTTAAGAATCTCAGACTCCATCTGCCCAAAAAAAAGACATCACTGGTAGATAATCTCCAACGAATACACAAAGAATTCAAAAGTTTGACAAAGCTTGAAGGTAAGTTTTGACCTTAAACTTTTTTGACATCCCTGCGAGCTCGTTATTTCATAATTTGAATAATTTATTCCATATTTTTTCTCTCCTCAATAATGCTGAAGCATTTCGCACCCACTTCCACTTCCATTGCCATTCAACGATTCTCATTATTTTTTTCAATTCGTGATTGCGTCAGCTCGATTTGCATGATTTATGTTCCTCTTTAGTCCTGATTTTCTTTGAATTTTCCGATTTTTTTGTTGTTTTAAAATTCGAGTTGTTAACATACACAAAAATGATGTGTAGCCAGAGGGGAGGTCTAAGAGGTTGAAATCCTTTTAAAGTTTAAAGACAAATGATAGAAATAAAATCAAAATTCTCGTAGCTGGAGAGGCAACTTAGAGTAGCAGGTAAGAAAGCAGACGAACCTCCTAATCTACTTCAAGAAATTTCTGACTACACCCTCGATACACAACAGCAGATTATTGCGTTCAATAAGATTAATAACGTACTCCCTTGTCAACAATATCATGTTGATATGGTGTTAAATTTAAATCGGGAATATTGTCATGACAGCTATTGTTGGCAAAAAATTTAATATATATCGATTCCTCCTCAATATAAAGCAGTCTTTTGTCAAATTTTTAATGAAATTTAAAACTCACTTTTTAACAACTTTTGGAACTAAAGCTTCAATTGTTTGTTCTTGATTGTTCTAGAATTTTTAAATAAATTTCAATTTTGTGTTGTGGATTTCGTACTCAATCAAGTCCGAAGTCATAGCAAAACCAGTTTAAATGCTATTAAATAAAAATACCAGAAATTCTCATACTAACAATAATCCAAAATTAATCACAAGGGATTGTTACGTAAGTAAAACTTTTCCATCAATTCCCAACACATCCGTTCAACAATATTGATTTAATTTAAGGCACTCCAATCAATAGATTTTTTTTTTGATGAATACAGAAAATTTTGTTCTCACTCAACAATCACAAAAAAAGTTATAATATTCCATCCTTTCTTCGAAGCTCCGACCAACTCAGATGAAAAATTCATTTGAGCATGAATTGAAAACACATATTACGAATGACGTACATTAAAGCGTATATTTTAATACGTTCGTTAGTCTCCTTCATATCGTTTCATATTTGAATGATCAGGAGAGAATGAGAAATAACGGAAATTAGGTCACATTACATTCCATCCTATCGATTTTAATTTTTTTTTTATTTCATATTCTTCTGGGAAAATTAAAAATGTTTTTTCAATAAAATATAAACTTTTGTGTAGCTTTTATGAATAAAATGAAGAGCTCTTAATCAAAAGGCAAATAAATGTTGAAGCCGATGATGAAAAGTTTTCATGTTTGACTTTCTCTTTTTTGATTCTTCTCAGCCATTTATTTGATTTTCCCAACAACTTTTCAATTGGAATGTTTATCTAGCCTCGTTTTTTGATAAGGTAATTCAATTCTAGTTCCCCATTTTACTTCTTTGTCTTCTTTTTGTTTCTGAATATTTTATAATTTTTGTACATATTTGAATTAGTAATCACCTGTACTTTTGCCATTAGAAGAACAAATATTCCCTTTAACAAGGGGAGTTGAGCTTTTTACAAAATTCAGGAGCAAATTCAAGAACTTATCATTCAGAAGGATTTCAGCAAAGATTTAGTTCCCATAATCTAATTTTCATTAACTTATCAATTGATTCTCACAACCTACTCAATGTGGATATGCATTCAGAAGTTATACAAACTGGGTGAATTATTCATTGCTGCTTTGCTGAATTTTATAGCATTTTTCTTACAGTAATTCATCAATATTGAAACAAAGCGAGTCAGTAAACTCCAATTTCTTTATTTCCACCACTACATCATACTAAATAATTTACCAAATCGATCATTAAAAACATAAGTTTGCTAATCAATTCCATACTCTACCGATTAATTATTCAATGGAGAAAATTCCGAGTATCACTTTGTTAATAAACTAGGTAGTTGTGCAACTAATTAAATGATTGATTCTTGAGATCTAAAAAGTTAATTTCAACAGTCTAATCAATCAATTGATTAAATAAAAAATGTATTAAAACATTTGTCGATTAATTAATTTAATTGAATAAGGTTTTTTGAAATGAATGTTAATGAGCAGGTACATTGGGGATGTTTTTTTTGGAAGCATGTTACATTTTTGAAAGTTGGATTTTGATGGCTCAGAACAGATGTGTTTTTTTAATGAAACAGAAGTGAATATAGGAGTTCTATAAAGTATACCCAAGGAGCACCACGTCGTCCTTGTGCGACTTGTGCTACTTGGGATAGGAACTATTGATGCAACTGTTCCTACTGCTATCAAATCTTTAAATGTTCGTTAGAAGTAAGGAAGGTTAAATAAATTCTAAGCATTACTCAAGATTAAGATTTGGAAAAACGATTAAAACCGGATCAAATATAAGTTTTATGCAGTGTTGCAAATGTAGATGTCTACACTAGATGAAGAATGTAGATTCATCAATAGCTTTTGTCTAGCTAAGAAACTTTCTTCATAAAGATCGATATTACATATAGATAGAAAATCTAATCTACACAAAGATTATTTCTAGATATAGATTCTGTCTACATGTAGATTTAATGTAGATGTCTACAATTCTACATTTTTTCCAGGTCTACATCAGAGAAGAATGTAGAATTGTAGACATCTACATTAAATCTACATGTAAACAGAATCTATATCTAGAAATAATCTTTGTGTAGATTAGATTTTCTATCTACATGTAATATCGATCTTTATGAAGAAATTTTCTGTCTCAGAATTTATCTGATTTAGACAAATGGCCAGAATGCAACACTGGTTTTATGAGTTTTACAATAAATTGTTCCAAACATCTAGAATCAAGAAAGCGAACTTTTGGATTAAAAACCAACAGAATAGAAGAGAAGTATGAGAATCGAACTCACATCTTATAATATTCTGATGCATGATACTACTAAGCTATCGTTGGTTACTCCATTTTATAGCAAAATGTATGCTTTTATAAAATTACACATTAAGGTATTAGCTTAGGAAGGAATCTTTAGATTATTTATTTATTTATGCATTAGTCTATCTCACAAAACAATAAAAGAATTAACAAATTAAAATATAAAAATTTAAAATCAAACTTGGAGATGACACCGCTTTAGCAGTTGGAAGTAATTACCGTGCTTTTCTTTAAGTACTGTTTGAGGAGGCTTTTTCCTTTGCGTGGAGAGTAAATATAAAAAGTTAAAGTTTTAAATAAAAAAAAAAACCCTTCATTCTTTTGTATTTCACTTCTCCTTCTGCGATTTATATCTGATCAATTTTTACAAGATATCTATATTTAAAGCAGAAATTATTAAACTTTTAAACATAAATCCCCCCCCACAAAATAATTTGAACAATTTTTTTTCCTCAATTGACATTTTCAATATAATTTTGAAGTTTTGAAAAGACATTAAATAATTCAAATGAAACTTGTTGATTAAATTGGAAGAATAAATTCTCATGAAATTAAAAAAAACCTTCCATTTAATTCAAAAACATAATGTAAATGCTTAAATATTAAAGGGGAAAAATACCCAATATTAATGTCAGAAAAACACGTCTAAGGAAGAAAACTCAAAAGACTTACAAGAAAATTTATGCTTCATTGAAAATTTTTTCATTAAAAATAAACATAATGGTTTTTTAATCAAGGTAATTCTCAGGATGATTGTATGTACGTAGGAGGTTTTTTACCTCCTTTTTCTTTCTCACCGTATACAAACATTCTCGTTTATACATTTTATGGGTATTATAAACAAGAAAGTAAAGTATCTATTGTTTGCTTACCTTTAGAAACATAAACATAAATTGATGCAGGCTCCGTATTCGATGCTCGACATGTGTAATTTCCTGAATCCGATATCTGAGGTTCCTTTATGATCAATCGACTCTGTGTTCGTGGTCCTGGAATTGTCTCAATTGAAATATCCCTCCTATTGTCATCATAATTCACCATTCGGTCATTTCGTTGCCAATATACGAATTGGGGTGGACCCGGCGACTGGAAAATTGAAAATTTTCAATTAAATGTTTTGATTGTAAATATAAACATGAGAGTCTAAAATCTATAATGCGTTTTATCTACCGCATGTTGCAGTGGTAATGATAATAAACTAAGCTCTGTAAATATTTGCAAGATAACATCTCTATAGACATTTTATTATATTTACACATTATCTGCGCATAAATTAAATACTTGTAGACATGTTGATGTGAAATTTTCATCAAATTAATATTATTTTATTATGTATCTCTATGATCTTTCTCTCGTACTAAATCCCTCTTTCATGTTACTTAAATCATTCATCTGTAAAATTCTTATGTCAGTACATGTTCATGTATATGCATCATCCATCTTTTAAATTGATATTTTACAAAAACAAAACTTAAACTTTCATTTCATTTATATTCATTTTATTATTTATTGAACAAAATGAAGAATAAATGTAATCGAAACAAAATAACATAATCGATTGTTCATCAAACTGTCAAAAGGTTTTCCTTACATTTGTGTCTTTTTCATTTCATTTCTCTCACTCATTTTTGTGTTTCTTCATTCAACAGAATTGATCCTACGAAAAAATATATATTCCGATAAGTTTTAAAAAGAAGACAATTTTCTTCTTCTTCCTATGTTTTTCCTTTGGATACGATGAAGATAAGGTTTTTCATGTCGAATGAAATTCAAGTGAACATGAAAAAAGTTGACAGAGATGTTTTTCATGTAAAGCTTGATTGATATATTATTCACCGTCCAAAATAATTGTCCAGGTTCATTAAGTTCGAATTAAAAGCTACAAAAATTTTCCAAACTTCCAGCTCCCTTTAAACATGCCCAAGAGAGCTTATTCTTAAGATTTTAACTATAGCATAAATACACTGTTTCAAGACTTTTAACTGTTCGATCGGCCAATAAATCAATATTAAAGGAGCTAATAAAACAAACCTGAGCTCTCTGGGATGTCTGGTTAAAAAGTTTTTCTTCGCCCGAACGAACGAACGAACATTTCGCATTATTAAGCTCCATTTTTGTATACAAGTATACAAAATGGGCTAAAAAGAACAATAAATTTCCAGGAACTTCTATTGTTATTTTTTTCCCCTTTCCCCAAATGGACGTCAAAAGTGAACGGCCCCATTTCTGAATTGTCCTTCAAGTGACACAAATGCGAAAGCTCTCGACACAAATCAATTATACTATATGGAATCAACTAATAAGAGTCTTTGAGTATCTTATCATTAGTATGCATATAGAAGCCACAAATTGAACTTCATAAAGTGTTAATTAATCACTTGATGGCGAAATCTTGACAGATACGTGTCAACGACATTGCAATTTATGTCAGCTCGAGACCATCTCTGAACAAATTTTCTCGCAATCGTATTACAAATTCAATGAAGAATGAAAAAGATTGAATTTTCTCAAATCTTCGAAGACCTAAGACCTCCTATAAGCTTGCATTCAAGCAATACTTTATTTTTTCATTCAATACTGAAATGCCATGGAAATGAAGGAAACAAAAATCGATACGATTTTTTTTTTTGAATTATCAAAATTGAACATTATGATTATAAAGGAAGAGAATTTGTTTCTAGAATTAAAGTTAACGGAAATTGATCATAAATCATGTCAGATATTTTAGTATTCACAAGGTGAAATTCCATTTCAAGTTCATTTGTTTGATAAATTTCTGCTTCTGAATTTTGATTTTCAATTCTATGAAACGATAATGTACAGCTCTATTGACATGATTTATAGAAATGAAAATTATATTGACGGAACTGACATTGAATTCTAAATTAAATTGAACATTCAACAATTTTGCAATTTGTCTTTCCCTCTAGTGCTTTTGAAAGACTTATTGAAATGTGAATGAGGAACTTTCTTGCCAATTAATTGTACATTTTGTGTCAAGGTTGGATATATCGGTTGAGATGATGTAAGATTTTACTGCATAAGATTGAAGGGGGTTTCGAAAGTTTGATTGCTGTTTCTATTTCATTAATTGCAGCTATGGAAATGCAAATAAATTGAAGGATTTTTTTTTTGTGGAGATTCAGAAACTTTTTAATTAAAATCTTGCGAGAATTGGGAGATAAAGATTGATTTGAGAGATATAATTAAAATAGAAATAGGTCAAATGCAGTGAGATGGTTTTATAAAGGAAATATTAAATTGTAGTTGGAGTATTATTGAAGCCTAATGGAATTTTGGAAGAACGAGCCATATGGAAGCGAATCTGCCAGCACGAAGGTAAGGTCATTGTGGCTCAAGTGGTTAGGCATCAGACTGAAAATCTGTTCTTCTCTCTTTTGTGAGAACGGTGGTTCAATTCTCACCAGTGACCTTTTAGTCAGTTCATTCCAAAAAGTCTTGTTGATATGACAAACATTCGGACGATCCTTACGACATTATAATAAAGGATTCCATTAGGGAAAAACTTATTAACCATAGAAAACACAGATGCCCAACCTTATGCCATGGTACAATAATATGCCACAAAAAACAAAAGTAAATTCCTCGAACTGTATGCCGTGTGCGTTTTTGTCATTGCTTACCACCAATGTGTGCCGTGGCACAAAAAAGGTTGTACACCACTGATATAAAATGAAATCATTTTGACATAAACTCAACATTAAATATCGATCGAATATACCAAAAGTAACCTTATCTATTAAAACATTCCAAAAAAAAATCTATAATCCATCCCAATTACATATTCATACCATTAATTCCAAAATTTACTACACCACGTTTCCAAAATAACATCTTGAATGTCTTCATCCAAAACACAAACACGCAGCATATAGTGATAGTAAAACGCCTACGATACTCATCATGGATATATTTAGTTTGATACAAACCTTTTCAATAATGCACACTAGATTTATCGCTGATCCCATATCTACATGAAGTTCACCACTACCAAGTATAAATGCTTCTGGTACAACCACTTGAACATTCACAAAATGTGAAATGACTCCTGTTGACGTCGATACCTGCAAAAGAGAAGAAAAAAAAATAAGGGAAATAAAAAATTATGTCTAGGAGTCAAAATGTGACAGCATAAAGAACAGAAAATCGATAACTTTTTGTATGCCTTATTCATTCAGTTTATGCTACACATACATGAACATTCAAGTGGAAGAGGAAATTTTCGATACAGTCAATGGGGCAAATGTTGATTGATGTTGTTTATAAAGTCAAAAAGTATTTTCCCAACACCAATCATCAGCTACACCAATAAGCTGTGAAGTACTCTCATTCATATAATATTTACAATAGCAGTTACATGTCGAGAGGGAATTTGAAGGAATGACGATAAAAATGAATTTTCGTTATGGCCACATCAAAGTTTTTTTTTCTGCTGGAATTTGCATTTTCAGGTGGGGTGGGACTGCCACATTGTGTGGTTTATTTTGGTATCTAATCATATCCAAGGGAAAGTACCAATTCAATTTGACTGTGTTGTATGGCAGCAGGATGAAAATTATGAATCCTCTCTATATTAAAAGTGGATTTAATTCTTAAGTCTCAGACCCCCTCACCCTTATAAGCAGTATGTCATAAGTCAATGACCCCTAATTATTCACACAACATTTAAAGTTCTTTGACCTAAAAATAGCGATAGATATCCAATTATGACAAAAATAATTTAAAAATCACAGCATAAAATTTTTTCAAACCCCCTTATATCCCCAATATATGCTGACTGCATACACATGGATGAATAATATAAACGAAAGCAATCAAACATAATCAAAAAAACAACAATTTGCTCAGAAGCGTAAAAATCCGAGAGATGTGGGAAAAATATTCCTGCATTAAAAATTGGAGCACTGGGAACAGCAAAAAAAAAGTTTCTCGTCTGTTAAATATTCAATCATACACAATTCAGCACTGAATATTTTTCTATCCACATTCTCAATTTTTTCAGCTTTTTATATCCTATTGATTGAAAACAGAAATGTTGCGAAAAAAAAATCTTTATAAAGTAAGCTGCATAGTAAAAAGTTTTTCCTTCTCTTTTCAGCTTCCTAGATCGTGCTCTATTTGCCCTAGTTTGTTTACAATTTTTTCTTTCTTTCTTTCTATAACTCAAAATGAGGAAAGAAAAAGTTTTGCTTTCTTTTTCTCCCATTTTTTGTGTTTAATCTCTCTCGATATTCAAAAGTTGAGAAAAAAAGGAACAAAAAAATAGAGAAAAACTTTATCATCAAAAAACTTTTCACTCTTCTTATTTGAGATCGATTTGCTTACTCTTGAAAATGTCAAGTTGTAGACAAATTATCACCTATGGCATATTTATCGATACCTAAAGTTCTCTTGCTTTCATTGTCGTACAAAAGAATTGAGAGGAGGAGGGAGGCAGTGCTCAAGTGACAAAGCAAACGATGTTGGTAAAAATGAGGCGCTTAAAATGTTTTAAGAACTATTTCCCGCGTCCAATTTCTGGCCTAGCATAAAACTCAAACCTAGACCTGCAGTTTGTAGTAGGATTCAAACCATTCCTTTGATAACATTACTGCATGTAGCCTACAAAACAAAGCTGTGAGCGTGACTTCCAGTTCATATGGTTTGAAACAGGACATGCGAAATTTTCTCATCCCGAGTCTCAAACTAACGACTGCTGAGTCGATATTTGCAATAAGTAGGAACCAATTAATCACAAGTCTAGTTTAAAACCTACTTGATTCGGGAGATATTTATCAATTTATATTGAAGGCTGTTGTGAGAGTAATTTTGGAGTTGCGAGATTAGTCGGCTGTCAACAGGCACAAGTCACAGATCTTTACTGGAAGCGACAAGTGGCAGGCAAATGACAGGTCGCCAGTCCTGTGGACCCTATGTTGATTTCTTTGTACATGTTAATTTCGGAAATGGTTGGTTGTAAAACTCACCATCCCTAGCCTGAATGTGGGGCTGCCACCCTACAGGCGAGGTTGTTTGGATAGTCTTTTAATCTTTCGTTTAAAGTTCTTATTCCGGCACAGGGCTCGGTGCATTTAGCGGTATCAAGGGATATTACGAGAAGGTATACACTTGACATTTGGTCAGCTTCGAAGTCAGATCTCAAAGCTCGCACTTCTGATTAATTTTTAAAACGATTCATCAATACAACGATTGAGACCCGCCTACACTTACACAACTTCCCAAAAAAAAAAGATTATTAATGCAGCATTTTATAGTAAACTTTGGCATCTAACTTGGTAGAAACTTGCTAAATACAGCTTTAAAAATCTAAAACAATCTTTATTTTTCAAGAACTATCGTCATTTGGAATTAATCCAATGTCAAACACACCATTTAATAAATAAAGCAAGTAAAACTCCAACCCACACAGTGTGTTCATCACAATATGCTTCATTCAATAAACAAACTGCAGTTCACAAATGTTTATTTCTCCACAAAAGCAGCACATTAAAACACAAGACAGTGGCAAGAGCAGAAGGTTAGGAGAAAAAAAACTACAAATGAAGACAGAAAAAAATAAAATAAATCGATTGTCGGTGTCATGAAAAATTCATTTTGATATATCGTGTGCTTCGAGTGGAGATCGAGTGGAAAACAACATACATTAGACGTGATAGAAAAATATTATACGGGAGGGGTTGCCAGAAAATCTCGAAAGTGACATCAAATCAATATCAATTTTTTTTAAAGGCAATAATGCAAAAGTAGTTCTCAGCTGTGAAACTCGTGTGCGTAGCTATGAATTGACATATGGTTGATATAGTTCACGATATCCATGTCGACTACATACATGACATTTTTCTGAATGGTATGTAAATTATCTATTAAAGCACAATCTACAATATACAAATTTCGGAAGTGGAATTTGAAAAAATTCAACCAAAAGTTTTTGGGCGACACGTGCTGAGTTGATGAATTATTTTGTGAAATTCTCATAGAAATAATTGTTTTCAAATGTTTCGATGCTGATTATGTTTTTGATTTTGTGCGTATCAAAGGAATTTGAAAGTCTTTATTTCTCAGAAGGAATCAATTTTAAATTAATTTTTTTTTGGTCAGAATTTCAATTGCAGAACCTTTTTTGTGGAACGTTTTTCATAGACAATTTTTGGAGGTAGTGTTTATGACTCTTTTATTGGATGCTTAAATTTTTAAATGAAATGTTTTTAAGGACTTCAAAGCTAATACAAAAAAAAATTTATCCAACTGACTAGAACTGCCAAAAAATTTTTTTTCTCCATTTCTCAACGTTTCATGACTTTTCCAGAAGGAGCTCAATTCTGTGAAACTAAGCAGTTCCGCTAGTTCCTTTACGTCCTTTTTTTTAAAATTGATTCTTTATTGTATTTTAGTTTAAAACTTTTAAATACATTAGATTATTATTATTTATGTAAAGTGAATTTAATTTTTTATGCATCATACCACAATTGCTTTATATATAAATGTTCTCTTAATCGTCCTTATTGGACCATATGCTCATATTTAACCTGATAATGCAGTAATTGCCTTCATTTTGTGTTCAGTTCCTGTCAAAACATCAAGTTATTGGCAAAATTTCAAGGAAAAATTTCAATCATAATTCCAGAATTTATTCGTTTAATTTAAATTTTGATTCTAGAATCGAAATAGAATTGGAATTGAAATCAAATTTTATTTAAATTCTAATTTAAATTCAAGAATTTTTTCAATGCAATTTCGATTCCTTTATTTCGATTCTAGAATTTTAATCAGAATTTTAATTGACTAATATTATTTTTCTCGATTTTCTACATAATCACCTCATTTATATTTTACGTAAAATAAAAGCTAGACTGTAGAATAAATTACAACAAACTCAAATTAATAATAATAATAAACAAAAAAATTCAAATGAATCCCTTTTTCATCTCACAGATCTTTAAACAGTGTTTACGGAAGCATTCATTAAAATTTTGATGCCTTCTGAAGTATTTTCAAGCACATTAACCTATTTTTTTCCAAAAATTACCACTCTTGAAATTTCCATTAACTCGCACAGTAAGATTCAGGGTCAACAATATCATTAATCAGCATCCACATGCTTCTCATTTCTACACACTTCATAAATTTTAATGTTTATCAACCTAACATAATTCTTTGGTGAGCTTCCATCCCTTTACCGCAAAGTATTTTACTCATCAGCATTGCAAAAATTGAAGATTTTTTTTTTGAACTTCACTTGCAGTGTGTTTTTTTACCGTTGAAAGACAGCAAAAGCGAAACATTTCGTTCATAATTAATGTGTTTATGTGTACCTTTCCCCTCTGTTTTATTTATGCTGTCACTTGCTACGAATGAAATAACCTTCAAGTTTGTCAAAAGAATATTTTTTCCTTCTGACAGTTTCTTTACGTTTTGTTTTTCTCTTTCCTGTCGAAAGCATTGAGTCAATATTAATGTCAAGAGTGTGCTTTAGGGTGAATCGTAAAAGCAAGAAGAAAAACTTACATGTCACAATTAATTTCTAATAAAATAATCGAATTGGTTAGGCAGTTGGAAGGCTCGAGAATGTTTATAAATATCAAGTCTGAATGACGTGTTTTTATTCTATTGAATAACGAATTTTAATATCGAATTGTTTATGGAAGACGAACTATTCATTTTTTGCTACCCGAGCAGTACATAGATTATGAAATGGAGCTATTGAGCAATAGCAAGTGAACATCACTGTTAAAAAACCGGTTATAGGTCGTTCATAAATAATGTCACAGGGGACGGAAGGTCTCAATTTTCACTTCAAGATGATAAAAGATCGGTTTCTATATCAACTCAAGGTTCGAACCGACTAGGGTCGGGTTATAATAAATTTAAGTATTTTCTAAGCATTATTCAAAACCTAATTAGAACCTAATAAAACTGCAGCGAATTCAAATTCCATAGAACACCATACACCCCTCGGAATATCTACGTTGTCTTAATTAAAAGCTATCTTAATTATTGTCAAATTAGAGACACATCAATGTATTAATTAAAGCCCGTAAAGTTCAATAATCATCCCAATAAATTTACATTAAAAATAATGAAATCGAATTTTTCATTTCATTTGAAAATCGAGCATTATAAAAAAGTTTACAGACTTACTCGCAATTCGTAGACGTAAAGAATCAGAAAGATGGAAGTGAAAAGAAGAAAAATTGAGATCGATAAACTTTTCATTTCTTCTTTTGTGCCTAAATTTTCAATGTCTTTTAAACTTTAATGCGATTTGTGTTGATTTAGTACATAATTGAGCTACTTAATATGTTAATTATTTAAAAGATTTAGGGCTTAATGTGAACAGGGAATGAATAGAGCAATTTACATACTTCAGCATATATCATAAATCACATTATTCTTATCGCAATAAATACCAGAAAAATGGAAACAAAAAAAATACTTTTTCTATCTCAATGAGATTATCTTTATCAGCTAAAAATCATCAGCTGTTGTTTATCGCTTCCTTTGCGCCCTCATATGAGATTCTTTTTCTGCTGTCTATGCTTTCTCAATTCACATACTTCTTCGCTCTACATTTATGCATGATAATGTTTACGTAGAATATAATGAGCTGATAAAAAGATTTATTTGATTTGAAAAATTTTAGATTCTGCAAAAACGAAGAGGATTTTCTTCTTTTTTTCACAATGAAGTCATAAAAACGAGTTTAAAATGAACGGGGTTGGATATAAAATCAGGGACATAAAGTTCTGAAGATTCAAGATTGATTTAATTTGAAGATAAATGAAAAAGTTATGAAATAGAGTCTGCAAACTTTAGTTGTTGAGTAGATTGAAGTTATTGGGAATCACTAAAGTAAGGATTTACGAGTTTTGGCAAAGAATCTGACTTTTCTAGCGAAATCTTCTTTTTCATCTTTTGATGACTGCTCAGACAGCCTATTTTAAGTTTAAAAAATGTCGAGAGGTTTACATGAACGCGATTAAAGCGTGACGCTAATATATTAAGTCCATGCACATGATTTTATAGCCCAATTTTTCAAGGAAATGTAAGGAAATCACTTGGGGGTCGTTCAATTATGACGTTTGAAATTAACGGTTTTTTTTCTAAACAGAACATTGTTGAAATTTCTATTATTCTTTTCTTGCTGACCCCCCCCCCCCCCCCCCGGACGTCATAAGTGAATGGCTCCTTACGAAGTTCATTAGATAATTGAATATTTAAACTCTCTTTTGTTAAAAGTGTAATAAAGCCTAGATCCTTCATCTCTTGAGCATCATAACTGAATAACTAGGGTGACCATCTGCGTATTTTAAAACTCTGTACTGTATAAATTTGAAAATTTTGTTCTAGGTCCTTTTTTTTCACGAAAATTTCCGTTGATTTTCAAATTTTCCTTTGTGTCCTGTATTTTTAGGAGATTTATCAAATGTCCTGTGTTTTCATAAAAATTAGATGGTCACCCTATGAATAACTCCTTTTTAAGGTTAACTTAAACAATTTAATTATTAATCCTTATTTTTTCTTGATTATATAATTATGGCATAATCAGATCTAATCACAAACTTGCTCAAATTACAAATTAACTGTCAGAAACATCACCGCTCTAATGATTTCCTTAATTTGAATTTTGAAGATCAAAATGAAGCATTTTTCAAACATCATTTAAGAACGACCTCTCTGCATTAAATTAACTTAATTTTAATCAATTTCCAACCCCTTGAGTCAAAATAAAATTTATTCTCAGAAAGAAATTTTCCATCATCGCTGCTTCCCTCGTGTCACAGATGCTGTTTCATTATCTAATTTTTTTCGTGCTCTCGCTCTCGAAAATAAGTCACAAAGAAGTTGATTTAAGGATAATCTTATTAGATCTTTAACATAATTTTCATTATTATTATTATATTATTTTGCCAAAACTTTTTTTTTTTGCTCATCTCTTGCCTAATTCCGACGTCACATAAGACATTCAAATTTATATTATTTTCTCTTATCTGTCAAAAGATTCGAGATAGAGGAATGAGAAGAAGGAATAAGTTGAAGTTTTCGCTATTGAGCACGGAAAAAAAAGGAAAATTAATTAGATTTTTTTTTCTTCATGAGAGAAACTTGCTGTCGCAAATTCTTTTCCTCTTCTTTCATTATGTTTTCTATCCATTGTCTTTGCTATTGAGATTGTCTTATATTGGTCAATGTTTCAGTTTGTGGTGTTAAATTATCGATTTTCCTCTTCCGTGTGTATTAAATTTTTAAATTAGACTAGGATTTTGTACGCACCTGACACTCATAGATTGCACTGTCTCTAGCCTGTATGAACTTTATCTGTAGTGTCCATACATTTGAGCCTGGTGTATGAATAATACCAAAGCGTTCGTCATTTGTATACAGTTGAGCACCTGATGAAAACAATAATGAATTAATAAAGCATGAAAAAACTTGATAGACAGATAAATCACTCATGTATGTACATGAAATGGGGAAGAAAAGGAGCTTTCAACTTACCACTTGCTAATACATGCCAGTCTCTTCGTCTCACCCATGACACATGCTGCTGAAAAAATTGAAATGAGAAAAAAATACGATGAAAATTCGAGGGGAATTAAGGTAACAAGTTGATATGATTTAGAGCGTAAATGGTAATTAATATCATAATAAGATTGAGCAGAAAATAGAATTTAAACTTTTGATCTTTTAAGCTCTTTGATCTTTCCTTTTATGTGTTTCCAGAAAATCTATTGAACAAGCTTTACCCTTCTAGAAATTTTTGTCTGATTTCACTTTACAAATTGATTTTTTTTTTAAATTAAACTTAATTTTGAAGCTTTAATCTAAAAACTTGTTGAATTCTTTTTCAGAATTGCCAACTAGGTTTTGCTCGCACAAGCTGCATTAAGCTTAAGGAAAGGAATTTTTAAGGAAAATTCTTATCTAAAATTATCATAATAAGCTTCCCCATAGCTTGCTAGAATTTTCTTATTAAAATGAGTATTTTAACAGGAATTTTATAAAAATGTCAAATGGAAATTCTATCAAAACATATTCATATTCATAACTCAACCTTTTTTTTCAGAAGATTGGTTTGGAGCAAAGTTCTGTAAATATTTTTATGAACTTTGGCAAATATGTGAAATTAAATATGTTAGAAAATTGAATAAATTTATATTAAAGCTATATTAAAGCTATGTCGTCTATGTCTACATTGTATGTTCTAGTATCTTTCTAATTGTAAGTTGCATTCATAGATGCAATACAGGTCGTCTGTCACAGGTACAAGTGACAGATCCGACACAGGAATTGCCTACCAAAAAAATATTGCCTCTCATAAGCAGTGCCTGTAAAAAGGCTATACCTGTGACAGATCTGGAACCTGTACCTTTGACAGTCAACCTGTACCGCATCTCTGGTTGCATTGACATAGCTAGGAGATATCAATAGGATTCAAATCTCCTCCTATTGATCTGTTCAGCTATCGATGTAGCGGAAGTATGAAAGCCAAGAATAAGCTAAGTTTGGCTTAGCTAGGATGGTTTTTAAAGGTTGTGAATGTTTTATTGAATTTTAAAGCTGCATATTTACTTATATAAGGATGCCACTCCTAAGCTATCTCCCAAAAATTTCTTAAAAAAATCTACAAATACCCCTAAAACGATATTCATCCTCATCCGCAAGATGATGGCAAGATTCAATTATATCCAAGTTTAAAACATAGATAAAAACTTACCCAATTTACACCTATTCGATCTACACCTGGCACCTTACACACTAAAAAAGCAGTACCACCTAACTGGAATAGAAGGAACAAAATATAAATTAATATTCATTAACTTCTTCTTCATCTTTTTATTATTTTTTCGTTTTTTTAAACCAGACAAAAAGTATACTTACTTGTACAGTAAGATTCTGAGATGTTGCCTAGAATGTTTTTTTTTTAAAATAAATAGAAGAAGTAGAAAAAAAAATATTGTAACGTTGAAGGCAAAGTTTTACAGTTATTGAAAGTTTTAACAACTTTTTCTTATCCACAGATTTTTTAACCAGCATCAGGGATGTTGCCAGACTTAAAGAAGGCAACTTTGCATCATAGAAGAGATTGAGATGCATTTCCTTAGCTTAAGACTGACTACATCCCTGATTCAGCATATAAGAAAATAAAATTTCAATTTACCATATTTACCTCAGGTTCTTCTGGTAACGTACTATCACTACTGTCTAAAACATTATTATCTATTCTATTGATTAATTGTCCTGTTTCCATCCAAAGTTTTTTCCAATCTGTATTAGCTAATATTGATTTGTGATCTGTAAATAGAGAATGGATGGGAAAAAAATATTTTTTAAAAACTTTGTCTTGCGCTTCTGTACAAAATAGTGATGAAAAAAGAAATTCTATAAAGTTTGATGATTAATGAAAGTTTTCAATGGAAAGATTGAACAATGGTTTCCATTAGTTGTACACAAATAATTCTGAATCATCAGCATGACTACCTGTCTTATCGAAAATTCTCGTTAATTTAATGCGAAATACATTTAGAAAATAACATTCAATATTTTAGTGAATTAATAAAATAAATAAAGGAACCATTAAAGTCTCGGATATAAAGAAGGAAAAGAAATATTTGTTTTCAGCATAGACAATGGATTAAATGCTGAAATTGTTGAATAATTTAATGAGGTTCACTCTTCCATGGAAACAAAGATAAAGAAGATTGGATATACGCCCTTTTTATATAAGATATCAAATAACTAGAGCTTTAATTATAAGTTTTATGAGAGCAGCTATGAAATTTCGTAGGAATAGCCATTGATGATGCTATTTATAAAATCGAGGCATGCATTGTCATTCGAATTAAAGTATATTTTCACTAAAGTTCTCAAACCCAGGGTTGTATTCAGGGGAACTTTGTGGTCGAACCTAAAACAAACAATTTTTGGAGCCAGAATTTTGAGATTTTATCAATAAAATAAAACTATTTTAAATTTCCTTTAAAATCACCTCAAAAATCTATTTTGTAGAGTAATAATTCACTAGTTTCTTGAGCCTCAAACCTTTTTATCCCTCAACCTCCACTCCCACTGCTGCACATCTGCTTTTATTTATAAATAAAAATTACAATAAATCCAATTCAGACCAAAATAAAATCAATAAAGCAACTAAAAGATTTTGCAGATCCAAATGTATCGTGTTCGTTCATGGAATTGTACGTGACAAATCGCATTGCTTTCCATCTCGTTCTGACTAAGCATAAATATCATCGATTTGCTTTTTCTTGGAAATGTGTCTAATTTAGTAGTTGACATAACGTAACCAATGTGGGTGTATTTAGTATATATTTTAAGGACATAATGTTTGAATAAGAGCTTGACAAATAATTTGTTGGTTTTGCGACTGTTTTTGTTTTTTTGCTTTAAAAGTGCATTATGGCATGAAATTTGTCAATCGTTAATTAGAACAACCATGGGAGTTGATTAGGTTAGAAGTAAATAATGAGTAGACGAAGTCAGTGCTTCTCAAACAATGCTCAGTGACACATTACTGCACGAACGTAGTCTGGTTTTTATTTGGTTCAGTTCTAAAATAGTTCAATAATATCAAATGTAACCCCCCCCCCCTGCCTACACCTCTGCACTACTGTGTCGACAAGACCTATAAATGTGCCGCAAAATGTTTGGCAGCACATAAAATTTAAATGAAATTATGTGTAAAGTTCGTCATGCTTGAAAAGTTTGAGAACCACTGATGTAAGCAAATATTCGACTAATTAAGTTACAAAGTTGACCAAATCAAAAACCATCTTAAATTTTAATACCTCAACCTCCCAACGAAAGACAATAAAGCTAATTATTCAAGGAAATTGATTTAGTCAGTAATTCAATACTCAATTTTCAATTGAGAAAACATCCAAATGATCTTCTAACTTTAAATTAACCATAGCAATTTATATTCACTATGCCAACATAGACAAGAAACTCAAAAAACAACTAAAATGTCTCAGTCATAAAAGCTTTTGAAAAAAAAAATACTTACAGATCTCTTCCTATTTAGGAACGGTTCATTTTAATAGCTTGTTAAATTTTCATAAACGAGATGAGTTTGTGAAAAAGCATCGTTAAGACTTCCTTTTAAAGCATCATTAGCTTTTTATTTGTAGAATAAACTTCCAAACAATTTTTTCCAACCATAATTTTCAATGTCCTTGATTAAATTTTCGAATTTATACTTTGAGATTGTTTTTATTGTTGGATAATTTTCACGGAAAATTTCTGAAGTGGATTCATTGATTATGTAAATGTAAGTAGACGTTTAGGTAGCACAATGGGAAAGAACTTAGAAAAGGTAGACAATTTCATTCATATTTAATAATTATGTCATATTTTCAAGCAGAAGCAGTGGCTTGGGTTTAATTCTTAGAATTGTTTCTCACGGAATTATAAATAATTTAAGATTTTCAGCTGTTACGTATATGTGGAAAAAGCTATGGGTGAAAATTTAATACATCACGCCTCTTACTTCATTATTAAAAACTTTTATACTGCTGATGTAATGTGCTTAGCTCCCGAAAAGTTTGAATAAATTAGAAATAAATAAAACAAAACAAAAACTTTTCAAGGTACGGGAGAACTTCCATAAATAACTTGAATAATTAAATCTTACAATTATATAAATAAATGCTCGTGTATATTTTATGCTGAGATCATGATTTCATTTGTAATATTTATATAACAAGTAAATCAAAAATACACTCGAACTCAGTTACGAATTCAATTATTTGTTCTGGTATCGTACACTTAATTTGGAAAATTGTATTGTCATCGTGACATTCCAAGAAAAAAAGATTTTAACAGAGCTCGAAATCGATAGGGACTCGAAAAAAATGAAGTCTACTTGACTAGGCCTGAGTTGACTTGAGTGGACTCGAGTTGTGGTTTTTTAACATTGAGCAAGAAATCTGATGTGGATTTATTCATATTTTACCTTACTAAGGCTCGCAGATAGGCTGTGTTATGATTTAAATAGTTTTGAAGATTAGGAGCTCAATGAATAGGCCAAGTTTACTTGTTATGATTATAATGAAGACAGAAACGGTGTCAGCTACATTAAGTCTCAATTCCTGTATTAAGAGCTTTCTTTATAAGTTTATGTTACTAATTTTTGACAACTTTCATATTCATTTAATCCGTAACAGAACCATTTTATTTCAGATTGATTTTTGTAATAACTTAAAATTTTTACAAACTTGTTTTAAATTTCTGTGCAATTTTTTGTGGGATCCAGCCTCTACTGCATTTTTTTCATGATCAATCTCTAATTTTTACACAAAACATTAAACTTAAATACGTTGTGAATATAAAAAAGAATAAGCTTCAGGCTTCTCACAGTAAAAATATCAATTTCAAAAAAGAAGTCTTGATTCCTTTTAAGAAACAAAATACATCTGACAACATTCATGATGTCCTGACTAAGAATATTTCAAAAATCATAAAATCCAAACATAATTTGACATCAGAGTTCAATTTAATCTAATTCAATAACATCCAAAATTTAAGTCAAGCAATAAATTGGAATATTCTGTTTTTTGTGACTTAACCTGTCAGTTCCACAACATTTGGCATTTCAATTACATTCCACATGACTCACAATATTTATAAGACCAATTATCCATAAATAATTCTCATTTTAATTTCATAAATTTTTAATCCAGCATTTGAGTTTCTTTTTAAATTGAAGCAATTCAGCCCATCAATCTTCTAACCTTCTTCGTCTTGTTCCTTATTTGAAATTTAAGGAAAAAAACTCGTCATTAAATATTAATTCTACAACTGTAGATTTAGGTCACAAAACTTTTCCTGCTTTCATTATGTTCCAATGCATACAGAAAAGTAAATAAGAAGTTTGCGGAAAGAAGAAGAAAAAGTTTTAAATTTTCTGGCTGATGTGGCAAGATAGTCTTAATGAAAATCTATTTTTAACATTTCCATTTGCAAAACTGAAGATTTCTCTTTGAATTAATAAATAAAATAATTCTTCTTGTTGGTTTTAAAATATTTTTCCACTTGAATTGGAACTGCTAGAATGGGAAGATGCCCTGAAGCGTGTAGTTCTCATAAAAAGGGATAAAAAGGGGATACTTGAGGCTAATGTACCACAAAGAATTCTCTTGATGTAGACATGATTATTTTAAAGACTATGATGACGATGACATTAATGCTTATAATTTCAAAACTAATTTGATTTAAAACTTTTTCGATAGACTTAATTTTGACTAAAAGGGGTTGAAGTTGAATTTTTTGAGGTTGGGGGTTCGATTTTTTTGTTTATTTTCTGTTAATTAAAGAAGTTCTGCAATCTCCTTTAAATCAAAACTAAAGTAATATGTTGAAGATCCTCTCCTTCCCTCTCATTTCCTGGCTATGCCCATTAAAGTGTATAATTTACAAATTCTTAAGAATTCCCTCGTTTTGAAGTACAACATAAATATTCAATATTTTATGAGCTTTTCAGATGGTTAGAGAATCAGCACGTAAACTCTGAAAGTATGTTCTAACCATCATTTAGATTTTTTCAACATTTATTACCTGTCTATGTTGGAATTTTACGATTTAGGTGAACAATTTATAGCAATTCGATTAAGGAAGAAGGAGAAAAATTTCAATAACTTTTTTCTCGCATTGCTAATGGTACTTTTGAACTTAGCAAGTGTTTTTCTTTTGAATTTTGAGTTTTATGAATTAAATGTTAAAGTTTAAGTTCGACAAAATGTTAAAATATTGTTTAAATGGTTAGCAAGAAGTGATAACCATCCGTAATATTGCTGAGTCATTGGCCTTAAGATATGTATCGTGAAATCGAAATCTCATGTCAAGTGGGACTCGAAAAAAATGTTAATAATCAAGAGGCATGGTAAGGGCTTACACTAGATATACATAAAATAGAAACCTAATTCCAATATTTATAAATCATCGATCCATAGCTTGAAGTTGACTCGACTAAAGTTTATCAAAAAAAATCCAGTTAAATCAGAGTCGACCACAAGCTCAGTTTCAATACATCAGGATCAAAATGAAGATTTTCTCAGTAATTTGAAGCATTTATTGCCAAATGCTTTTATCGTTCAAAACAGATTTACCAAACCATCAAAAAAAAATATTTATAACTTTCCTATACATGAAGCTTCTCTCACAATAAGAACCGCAAAAGGTTAGGCATAAAGGCTAGTCGTCCTTTTGATGTCCGAAGAAAAAAAATGCCAAAAGAGAAAAAAATTGCCTATTGCATAAATTAATCGATAAATAATCTCAAC